TACGTTGACCGCGTTCTCAAAGTTGTCGGCTTGCGTATCTTCATTAATGATATGTACGTCATATACCATACTAATTTATATGCAATAGGCGCAATAGACACGCTAACGCTGTTATTACTACTATTACACTTACCCGGAATAATTAAATAATTTAATTTTTCGTATACATTTATTCGACTCTTATGCTATACTCCAATTATATAATAAATGAAAGAATTTTTTAAATTTATTATACAGTAAATAAATTGAAAAAGCAAAGAGAAATTTAAATTGCTAGCTGCAAAAAAGCATCGATGTAAAATACATATCGTTCCGAAAGTCGTAGGAATTATTTTATGTGAGATTTTATTAGGGATTTCAGCGTTAGGGGTAATTTTCCGTTCGTAAGTAATAAAGGTGATGACTTTTGCGTGCTTAAGAAGTTAAAGCGCTCTTTTTTTTTTTTTGCGCGCGATTCGAAGAAAGAACGGGGATAATCCCCGTTAAGCGCCAATAATAGCGGTCGATGACGAAACCGGAACCAGTTCTAATAACCAGTTTGACATGAAAGAAAAAGCAACGAACTTAAGAATCAATAAAGGACCTAAAGGACCCTTCTTGTCGGCACTCCGAGATCTTCCCGGAAGAATAGATCTTCCCTTTCCGCTCGTTTCTTCATTTTCTTCTTGCTTCATTTTCCTATAATAAATCGGATGTATCGAAAGCTCCTTATACATTATTCGCCGAGTTCTTCCTAGTTTTCCCGAATACAATGGAATATTTATCTTTTATTCGACTTCTTCAAGTTTTAAGTTTATCAAGTGTATTTTGAAAATTGAACCACAAGTAACCTTTGAAGAACAACTTTCAAGAACGCACTCCATGAAACTCTGTTACAAAATCAATTGTAAAAGTGTGTATATGTTCTAATGCGGTTTCTAGGTGGAACAGATCGACCGAGATATTCAATTAAGAGGCAGATCATTCGCGTTACGTCGGTAATCATTGAGAAAGTCGCTCGTTATATTTTTCCGAGTGGAAAAAGGAATGGAAAGACGATGGTAAATCGTTTGTCTTATCAAGATTAATCATTAACCTTTGTTCAAAACCTTTGTTGAAGGCTCATGTGAGCTCGTGCGTTCGATATCGCGAAATCTCGATATGGATGATAATGATGTGATTCAGCTGATGGAGAAGAAACGCTTGAATAAACTTGTAGATAAATATTTGCGCGCAATATCGATACAAGATGTCCTCGCATCGTCGTATTCTAACGTCATTTTACATTAAACGGTGACCTTATCAGTTGGATTAACGATCTTTAATTGGGTCTACGATTATATAAAATTTTCCCTAGTCTAGATTCCGCGTAATTGATATCAATCAATGTCGCCGTAATTTTATCAAACGATCAGATTTGTATGAAAATAGATAATCTTACAGCATTTTAAAATGAACTATATCAATGAGATTATCGTCAGTTTAGGAATATCTGATCGATCTTTCTTAATCGGAACGTGATGATCAAGAACTCGGCTTTATTCCGAATCCCTTTTGTGGCGACGCGAGCCACCAGGACGCGAGTCCGAGGAACTCCATCGTTAAAGTCTCTCTCGATGACTGCTTTTTCGACGCACCCCGGCAATTTGATTTCGTATTCCGCTATACGGCCCCGCCCTTTCTCTCTCTCTCTCTCCGGCGCGTAGATCGAAATTTTATGGGTCGTATCTTCACTTTAACGGCGATGCTGTGTCCGGTACGGCGTACAACGGCCGATTCCACCTCGCCTTTGTGCCGGTCATCCACCCTCTGTCTACCTTTCTTCGCCTCCGTCTTTCGCCGTCTACCGCCTTTTTGCCGCCGTACGATATCGTCCTCTTGTCGTCGCGAGATTAGCGGAAAGTGCGCTCGAATCCAGCAGACGGATCAATTTAATTTACTACGAATCCAGATTGTGAGGGGATCCTAAACGTTGTTCCATTATTTCATCGACAAAACATTTTTGCGTTTCTTTTGATTGGTTGAATAGAATAATAAATTCTTTTCCACGATTAAAAATATTAATTTTGTAAATTAAAAGCACTCATTATTTTATTCAACCAAGAAAGAGAAAAGGGTGCTTTCAAAAATGATGTTTTATCGATAAAACAAGACGGCGTTTAGGCTCCCCTTTAGTTTTCAATCAAGAACGGTTTGATCTCGCGACTCTCCTGTCATCATAGATTTTTCCGCGGAGTCGTTCGATTTCGCGGAGGAACGAGACGACGAGGGTCTCGAGCGATGAAGGCGCGATGCCGAGCGAAGACGAAAACTCGTTTCGTGCTTCGTTGCGAAGGTTAAAACCGTAACGCTCCTATCCGCCTTGCTCGTATGCGGGCGCTGGCCAGGCCGAGCTTAAACATCGGCGTGGCCGGGCCCCCTTGCCAGACCGCAATTACATCCCATAAAGCACGATTGAGACACGGTTCGGCCATTATTCTCCCGTATATACAGGGCCGTACAAAAGATTCCCGTCGTTTAACGCGACGACCTCTCGATCTCGCGGAAGGCCGTCGTATATACCTACTCTTTTGTCGAATGCATTTTCGCGAATTTGATTTCTACGAAGGATTAAAGAGCTACGCGAAACGGATCTTGTGTCTTCCTCGGAAATTGATGATAAAAAAGAAATCGGAGAAATCTCTTTGGAGGAGAGATTGCGAAGGAAGGAGACTCTTCTTCCTCCTACGTCTTTCGAAGGAACACGATTCTTTATGACTCGCGAGTATCCTCGCGAAAAAAAAAAAAGATTACGAGCGAGGCAAGATGATAATGGTAATCAATTCTACTCGATTCTACTTTAATCGTCGATCATTGAGTTTTTTTTCCTCGGTCTCTATACACGACCTTGCCTCTCACCCGTTCCCCTGATAATCGAAGAAACTCGAGGCACGTTTCGCTATGGTGCGATTATGCCGCCTCTTGGGACTTTATGAAGCAATTACCGCGGCACTAATTAGAGTAGGAGCGCCGGTTTGGCAGGACTGCTTCATTTTTGTCCCGGAGTGACGTGAGTGACGGGGATGAGCGGGATCAGAGAATGAACATCTTTCAGTAAACTCTCTTTCGATTTTACCTCGCGAAATTATGGTTTCGTCTTACTCAATTTATGTCGATTAGAGAAGTTATGGTTAAAGCGAATTATATACTCGTGATCTCGATAAATCAAAGGAAGGCGTGATCCTCGCTTTCTACAAAAATCAAGCGTTTCTTTTCATTTCATTTATTTGCCTCCCGCAACATTATTCTTTTCACATGTGTGGGTATATGTATATATGTGCGTTGTGTTTTATCATTATTCCGAAAAGGCACGATTTTTTTCGTCAAAAGAAAAAAGAGATTTTTATTCTCCAACAGACGAAAACGGAGAAAAAACCAATTTACTCTACTATAAAAAAGCGGGAGGAGATGGATGTTCGTTAAAGTAGATGAACTTCACTGACGCAAGGCCGCCTCTTCATTTCCATCTCTTTATTCATATACGCGTTGCACAAATCTCAATTTTAGCAACACGCCCAGTTTCGACCAAGCTTTGCATAACGAAGGAAACCACCGACGAGCGTGTCACGGACGTGTCATTGAGTCGGCTTAGCGAACGAAGAGCGAAATGAGGACGTTATATCACTCGTAAATACGAGCCTTGAGAAAAAGCGTAAATGCGGTCAGACGAAACCTTTAAAAGCGACGTTAAGTATACAATCGCGCTTCTATCTGTCCTAGAACACATCGCTGCTTAATCCTAGACAAGTGTCATTTATTTCAAATGTCATCTACTTTTTACAATCATTTTTCTCGAAACACAATTCACCAAATACACATTTTTAGATCAATATTCTTTATGACGTAAGAGAAAAGAGAAACGTTGGGACACACATCTGCCGCCTAAACGCGCACATCCGTTTTCGACGACGATGTCAGCTGTCTTTTTTTTTCGCGGCTTTTCCCATGGTCGACCGCATCTTTCCGCCCATCGATATAAGGTAGACCCGCAAGTTTTTCTTCGAAGCCTTTAATTTGGCACGTGTTGCACTCTTGGCTATTGTTGCCATGATTGTCGGTTTGGCGCGGCCTGTCTTCTTTCGCATCGTCGCCGATCTTTCGCATGGCATAAGCGGGGTGTATATGGTGATAATGCGCGGTTCTCGGGTGTATCCCGGCACGCGTGTTGCTCCTCGCCGTTCTTCTTTTCGTCCTATCTATCCCGAGTCGTTACCCGCTAAATATTATAATACCGCGAGAGAAAGAGAGGCTCTCCGACGCCATCGATCGTCGCGAATATCGTTAACGCAATCGGGAATTGATTTCGGTCCTCGTTTCATATTCATGGGCAAAGTGTAGTCCGCTTTATTATTCTGTCTATGAATACCAAAGACATTGATTTAACAACAGAAATTTGTAAAAAGGATCTACAAAATGATTATGATCCTCGGATCGTGTAAAAAGTCTCAATCGCATTAAATATACACTTATATATTTAAATACGATTATTTTTAAAAATGTACGTAATTATTTTGTATAAATATTTTGTATATAATTATGCAGGATGAAGTAGGATATGGTAAGTTTGACATTATTAATTTCCTCGCAAAATTCGAATCAATTTCTCAAGCTCATTAATAACGTCTTCATCTGTCACGCTCATAAAGATTAGTGACATTAATTATGTCGACGTTTTGCGATATGCATATACACACTATGAGTGCATCACATGTACAAGTATTATGCAACGAGTTCTTTTCAATTATCAAAGGCATGACGGATAATTGAAAGAAGAATGGTTTTTCCTCGCGAATCGACCCACATGTATAAAAATATATATAAAAGTTTTATGCTTGAAGCTTACTCCGGCACGAGATTACTCCCCAGTACAGCATTTGTTATTGTTTGCATGTGTCGTAGGAAAAAGTGGGGATGGCGGGTCGCTTTGATCCTCTCTCGCGCGATTCGCCCTTACCTTGATATTAAAATTTCATGCCTTGCAGGAGCTGAAGGAGAGCTTCAATTACGGCCTCTTCTGTCCGCCGGTGAATGGAAAAGCTGGAAAATTCCTGGACGAGGAACGCCGCCTCGGCGATTATCCATTCAATGGACCTGTCGGATACTTGGAGGTAAGACTCTCTTTCTTCTCATTATTCCTATTTCCGTCGAGTTCCTTCTCGCGACCGGAATCCGCGTTTGCGCGTTCGTTCGTGCTGATTCCTTTTTTTTTTTTTTTGTTATATATATAAAGCAGGGATAAAACAAGAGATGTTTATTTCAGTTATACAGTTGGTTTTGACGCACGACGAAGGCTTCCCGTTTTAGTAGTGGAGGGGTTAAGTAGCTTCCTCGCGTGTGCATTAAAGCTGTCAGCAGACTCACTTCACGCCTGATAGGATCTAGTTACGTCATACGTTTCCGAGTTGTACAATTACATTTCTTCGTCGAATAGAAAAGACGGTGTATTGTTGCACGAAATCTATATCATCGTTGTTATAGAATCAAGTGACGTTTAAAAAAAAAACTATGACTGTTAAAAACAAAAAATACTGAGATGTAGAGAGAATTTTCTAAATACTTACATCCGCGAGAAGAACGTGGGAAAAAATCTCTCTTACACTCATTTCTTTCATAGAGGCAACGACATTCTCGTAAATGCTACTTGTACTCTTTTCTGAAAATACATTATTAGCTTCGGCAGAAGTTGAATTCAATGGAACGATGCCTTCCATTGAACAAGAGTCGGGAAGATGTTGTTTGCAGCAGCTCTCTTCTTTACGTCGTCTTCAATTTCGCGTCGAGACGATATACGTAACGAAACGAGATGGGGAGGTACAGGTCTCTCGCGGAAGTAGGTATTACGTAATTAATCATCCCGCGATGATCCTCGGTATTCTTACTGCACATAAATCACTCGGTGGTGTAGCGAATCGCGCAGCTCGACCGGCGCGATGACTGTTAAAACGGGGGATTCGCGAAAAACAAATAATTCGGTCCCGGGTTAACGAGATCTGGATCCTGTCCCGCGGTTTTCTTGCGTAACCGGTGATAGTTCTCATCGTCCAAGCTCGTCGCCTCGTTTCCCGTCTTCCTTCTTCTTCTTCTTTCTCTTCTTCTTCTTCTTCTCGATCGGTTGGTTCCACCCTGCCAGCTGCACGTCGCGGGAGATTCACTTTCAGGGACGGCTGACTCATACACAGCTTCTTTGAACCGTCTTTAAGCCGCATTCACCTCGCACGAGTTACAAATTACACGAGGCCCGTCGACGAAAAACTTGCGTTTAACAAACGCCTGTCAGCGGGATTCCTCGTCGGACAATGAGGGCCCCGTGGTTTTCAAAACTATAAGTCTCTCTTTGCGGAGAAAGAGAGATAGAGAGAGATGTGTCGCAAAAGCCTGAGCACGCATAATACCCTCCTTATAACTGAACTTTCTTATTCTCTTTGTAAACGTATAGACGGTTCTTACAGGGTATCGCGTTTCGCACAGATTTGCTCGTTATTAATATTAATATCGCGGTATTTTTGAAATGACACCCCGACAGGGTACGATGTAAAATTCGAGGGAAATAATCGATGCGACAAATTTTTCGCGACATTTTAATATTATGCGATAATCCGATGAAAATGAAGCAACGCGTTTAAAGCTGAAAATTAAATATAAATATTGAAGTGTATAATAGAGAGAACAGGTTTCCAAAGATAAGACGCGAACGAAAACTCTGAGATTATATTTTATTTTAATTTTCCTTATTTAATACCCCGATGGGAATGAAATTATTCCGAGAAGATTTCTTTACCGAGTAAACGAGAACGATATCCAATAAGAGGCTACTCATACATTAAGACGCGCCGGGACATTATTATCGGGGATGAATACGAAATGAACTTCGCGTCTAAATCGCCGGTATTTCGCCGGTAATATCAGCCTTCTGCCAACAAAGCTTCCTTATTACAATAATCGAATCCCTCTCCTTCTTCCCCCTCGCTGTCAATCTCAGACCCGCTTTCGTCACGAAAGCGCCGTGGTCGGACGAGGCCGGGAATATTTCAGGGTCGGTTCGATTTAGTTTCTTTGATCACCTGACGAGCCCATTCATTTTGCACGAGAGTTACGTGTCCGGGACGAACGGGACGTGGGCGAGACGAACGACTTTGGTGAGAATATGTACACGCGAATGAAAAGTGAAAATTGACAGCCGCCTGTCGACGACGGCTGTCACTCGCGACGAGAGCGCTAGAGAATAATTAATTGTCAAACGAGTTCTTCCGCGCCGTTCATCGTGATCCATTCAAGATCAGCGTTTTATCCAGCGAAGAGAGATAGAATCTACAGGGCGTCCCGAAATTCGCGAATCATCTCGTGTTAATGGCAGACGATTTTTTCTCGCCAAACATATCGAGGCACCAATCATTTTCAAGGTATAAGCGATTGAAAATCAGGGATTTTTTTGCAAACTAAGCCTTGTTGTAGAAATAAAATATTAACAAACCACATATTCTTCAATTAATTTCAAGTAGAGTTTACTTTAAGTTACAAAGATACATGATGGCAAAAATTGGAAACATGTAAAAATGATGGCCTCCCTGATCTGCCATTAACAGATGATTTACGAATTTCGGGACACCTTGTATATTCCTCGGCTCTCGATAGAAACGAAAAGAAAAACTTATTTACGTTGAAGTTTCTCCCACAATTATTTTTTATCCGCTCAATGTATAATATATTGTATATAGACTCTCTTCGTCGTCCTTTCTTAAACGAACCCTCGATATTTGATAGCGGTGAGAGGTATGGTATAATAGATAAATTGAGAACTCCCTCGCGTTTCTCAATTTTCATTTTTCCCGCATAATTCGCTCGATGCACCATCCAGACCCCTGTCTTATCTCAAGTGGGATATAAAGCAACACCGTTAGATCGAGTTTGCGTTCGCAACGCGATCAAACCTAATCTAATTCGCCGATGATGGCAACGCGATGTGCATCCGGCGCTACCGAGTGCGTCGTCATAGCGGTCTTTATATCATCGCAATTATTATTGTGTGTGCACTTGTATAACGCGGCCACACGGTCATCTCGAGCAGAAATCGCGCGACACCATTTTTACAGCGCAATCCCGGCGAAAGCGTCCGCGGTTAAATGAGAATTAAGTTGTACCTTGCACATAAATTGAATAAAACGTTAAAAATAAATGTATATTTATGGGTACTTTTTTTCTCGAGAGAATTAAGCGCGCCAGAAACGCGAATAAATAAAAAGAGAGAGAGAAACCTTATTAATTTCCGGATCTAGCTTTTGTCTAATAAAATTTTGTTACGACCTTAAGAGAAGATGTATAATGTAAGAAAGATGAGGGAAAATGAGGCGGCTTTTCAGATTGAATTTTCGATAGGAGAAAAAGAGGAGGGTGGTCGGGTTCAATTTCCTGAAGGCGGAGCCTTTTTCTCTCTCTCTCTCTCTCTCTCTCTCAGTGCTTTATCTTATGTCACGTCCGGTTTATTGCGTATTCATCGATAACGGAGAAATGCGCGTGACGAACGTATTCGTGTGTAGTAGATTATAAGAAACGGCAATTATATAGCCGTCCAGGTGAAACGATGAGATATATTTACGATAACGATAGCCACGCTTGGCGCTTCTCTCGCGATATATTTGCATAAGTACTGCACGGAGAGAAAGAGAGAGCTACTGCAAATCTATACCGCGACAAATTGCACGCGACGATCAGAGTCAGAGTTAAATATCTCTGGATATATCTTACTCCGCAACATACACGTACACGCGCGCATAATTTATGATTTGATTTAAGCCGCTATATCGCCGTATAATATGAAAATAATTAGCTCGCCGAGAGATGAATTTCACGCTTTTATATTCATGATGGAAAGCGAAGCGCCATTAAAATAGCCGTTCCGTAATAACAGTCGTTTCGAAAGTACAAGTGTCATTATTCTCAAATAAATTCCAGCTCAAATACAAGAGGCGGGTGTACAAGATGCTGCATTTGGATGAGAAACAGCTCAAGGCTATGCATACCAGGACGAATTTGCGGAGGTTACTGGATTATGTGCAGAGCAGTCAGGTCGAGAAGATCGCGAAGATGTGCAGCAAGGGGCTGGATCCTAATTTCCACTGTCAGGAAACGGGAGGTAATTCGCATGCGCAATTGCAGCTGCATGAAAATTGCTAAAACAACCCACCAACTCGGTGTGCAGTCGCGCGGCGTGACTGTCATCAACTGCCGACACATTCCAAAATATTAAAAGTCATCGTAAAATAAATTTATGTAATCATTCTATCGCATCCGGAAATAATGACATTACGATTTAATGTTTCGTTATATAAAAGAAAAATATTTTATTTTTTCACGTTTAGAAACATTTTTAATTCTTAAATTCTCTAACTTCAGAGACGCCGTTGACCTTGGCAACGACCTTGAAAAAACCATCGAAGGTCATAATTGCGTTAGTCAATGGTGGTGCTCTCCTGGATTATCGAACGAAAGAGGGTCTAACGGCGATGCATCGTGCCGTTGAACGAAACAGTCTGGAGGCCGTGAAAACGCTGTTGGAACTGGGTGCCAGCCCGAACTACAAGGATACGAAAGGCTTGACACCGCTCTACTATAGCGTCATTCACAAGACCGATCCGATGCTCTGCGAGACGTTGCTTCACGACCACGCGACAATAGGAGCGCAGGATCTCCAGGGCTGGCAGGAAGTTCACCAGGTTCTTATTTGTTTTTTCTTATCAATCATAACACATTGTGAGGGATACAATTTTAAAAAATATTTTGTAAACTTTTATTCGTCAGTTTTTATCTTTCGAAAACTCATTGCTTCGTAAAGTAAAATTTTGTTCTTATTCCCATTCATAAATTCTCGCGTAGAAAAATATTGATGGAAGGTTGTGGGATTAATCGCGAGGAATGCAATTCGAAGGATCCGTTGAATGATTTCCGCGGCTAATACCCGCCTACTCGCGTCGTATGCCCGCAGGCGTGTCGCAACAATCTCGTACAACATCTGGACCACCTGCTTTTCTACGGCGCTGACATGAATGCGCGCAACGCGTCCGGTAACACGCCGTTGCACGTGTGCGCGGTGAATAACACGGACGCCTCGTGCATACGTCAGCTACTCTTCAGGGGCGCGCAGAAGGACGCGCTCAACTATGCGAACCAAACGCCGTACCAAGTCGCCGTGATCGCTGGCAACATGGAGCTCGCCGAAGTCATCAAGAACTATCAGCCGGAGGAAGTCGGTGAGTTATGAACGTCGCACGAAATGTCAAAAATCGTAAAGCTCGCGGACTCCTCGCGATGAAGAAGGGTGGGATGGGGGGCAGGAAACTCGCTTGGAGAGGTCGAGGCATGATGCTGCAAGAATAAACGACAGACGTTGACGATCTTCTTCCTCTCGTTCTTCTCTCCCTTATCCTTTCTTCCCCAGTCCCTCTCCTCTCTTTCTGCGTTCTTTCCTCTCTCTCTCTCCGGACATTGTTCCGTCGTTCTTGACGACCTTTGCTCGCGCAATAATGATAACGCGGCGCCGGCCGATCGGTCCTTCCGGGATCACGAATGGGACGAACGGGCTCGGACGGATAATCTCATTACTCTCGTCGAGGTTTCTCCATATTCATTCGCCACACCCGCGACGGCTGATTAACATGACTGTGCGATTTCAATCCCCCAGTTGCGAACGTATCTGTATTATACTGTATGGTTTATTAAAGAAGCGAATAATCGCTAATCGGGATTAAGGGAAAAAATTTCGCGATCTTATATAATTTTCAATAAAAAAATCGAGAAATCGATAGACGATTAAAATGATTTGACGGAAGTTTCGAGTAGCGGTCGCTTATCACTTTATCGGCGAGCTATCGTTCTGTATTCCGAGTCTAATCCCTCCGATATCTCGTCGCGTAGTATTGTTTGCTAAAATAAAAAAAAAACAGTACATGGCCGCGATGAGGTGTGACGTAACAAAGTTAACAGACTTTATCTCTCTGATAACAAACGCGATCGTGGATAGAGAAACTACGACGTCGGAATTTTATATTGCATGATTGTAGTGTCGAGCATGGCATGAGCACGTTGCACGCTGCTTCTCTTCTTCGTGTAATATAATATAAAAGTAGACGTTAGATAGGTAGCTCCTCTTTCTCTTTCTCTCTGTACGTAGTCATTTATAGAAGGTGCCTCTCTGGAATTGTGCATATATAACACAAGACGCGTAGTGATACGTACGTATGTATATACTTATTTATATATATATTATATCTACCTATGTCTGTACTGTGTGACGAGTAACGTAAAGATTTTTACAATCATGTCATGGGATTTTTGGTGGTGATGGTCGTGTATATGACGTCGAGTACATTTGTAATACCGAGGAGAAGTAACGACACTACCTCTTGATAGATTGTGCTTTCCAGTAACTAATGGTACTGTATCTTTGATTCACTGTCGAATGGATCAGTGCTGCCGGATTTTCGTCGCAAAATGCATCTCGATCTCTGTATCGATTCTCGATTAAATAAATTCAAGTAAAAGATACATTAACTTTTGACAGAAGAGTTAAAATATCTTCAAGCAATATCGATAATTACTTTTTCTGGCAGCATTGAACTTGTGCAAGAATGTCTTGACTAGTAATGTTTAGTAGTTCGAGATACAGGGTTTGTCCGGAAAGTAATGCGTCGCATTTTTTTAAAAAAGAATTTATTGATCGCATAGGTAAAACAACTTAAAATTGTTCGAAGTATGACCCTTCTGCGTCAATACATTTTTGCCAACGCGATTTCCATGCGTCATAAGATTTCTGGAACTCCTTGACTGGGATGCTGTTCAGGGAGGCCGTCGAAGTAGCTTGTACGTTGTCAACCGACTCGAGCTGTTGTCCTTTGAGCTCCCTTTTCAGCCGAGGAAATAAAAAAAAGTCCGCCGGGGCCAAGTCGGGACTGTAGGGCGGCTGCGGCACCGTTGCCACACCGATCCGGGTCAGGTAGGCCGTAATAACAAAGGCGGTGTGAGCCGGCGCGTTGTCGTGATGGAGTTTCCATGAAGCGCGGATCTCCTTTCGGACGCGGGCGATCCTGTGATTCAGTCTCTGAAGCACTTCCTTGTAAAATTGAGCGTTGACAGTCTGGCCGGGGGGTACGAATTCATGGTGCACTATCCCCTTTGCATCAAAAAAAACAATGAGCATTGACTTCACCGCACTCTGCCTCTTTGACTCCGGATCGTACTGAAAGACCCATGACTCATCCCCAGTGATAACGTTGTTCAGGAAATTGGGATTATCTGCACAGAGTTGCTTGAGTTCTTCACAAACTTCCACTCGGTGTTGCTTTTGCGCATCGGTCAACACTCTGGGCACAAGTTTTGCGCAAATCTTCCGCATGGCCAAGTCTTCCGATACAATCTCGTGAACAATCGTTTTCGGCAAGTTCAATAATTCCGACATTAAGCGAACATTCATTCGACGGTCTGAATTCAATAATTGGCGCACACGAGTCACATTGTCGTCCGTTCGCGATGTTGACGGGCGTCCTGCGCGGGCCTCGTCGGCGACCTCCTTCCGACCTTCTCTAAACATCTTGTGCCATCTGTTTGACTGCGATTTGGAAAGGCAATCGTCCCCGAAAACTTTCTTGAGCATTTCAAAAGTTTCCAGCGGCGTCTTGTCCAGCTTCACGCAAAACTTTATCGCATAGCGTTGCTCTATCGTTCTCTCCATCACAAGTTCGACGCGACCACTAAGCAGAGGTTCACAGAATAAGCCGTCCTAACCCTCCAAGCGCATGGAAACAATTGAGCGACCTACCGTTGGAAAGCTAAGGGTACCCCCCTTCCTCCCCAACCGGTCCCATTGCTCTGCGATGTATAGTCGCGTCACAAAAAAATGCGACGCATTACTTTCCGGACAAACCCTGTACGTTGTGAATCCACGTGGTCTCACGGATCGTCGGGAGTCTCTGAAACCTTGCGAGAGGGAATCTGAAGAAACACATCCCGACGATCTGGTGACGGCGACGTCGATCGTTTGTGCACATGACGTATTCCGACGAGAGACTTACCCGTATAATCTCGAGCACATTGTATCGCACAAAACGGATACAACGAGGATGATGAAGTCGCGTTATCTTTGCGTGTGTGGCTTTCTACTGCTTTCCCGACTGTACAGGGTGTGTCCCGGAATTGACAAAAGTGTGTGTTGTTACCGGTTGAAAAATCGATTCCCCCTTATCTTCTCGAGCTTTCAAATTATTTTTTTTTTAATATAAATTTTACTTTTTTGGCGATTTAAATCATGAATTAAATTAAATGAAATAAAATTTCGTGGTTGAAACAAAAGTTTGCATCTTATAACGATTAAATATAGTAGTTTTTAAACTCCAAATCTTCCGATAGATAACTTTCCGATCGATTCTAAGACGACCTGTACACGCCGGCACGATAAAACGACGAGGGCAATACCTGGTTGTTCGGGGTTACCCGGGGAAGAGAGCCAATAATCATCATCGTGAAGTAACATTGTGCGTGCGTGCGTGCGTGCTTGTGTGCAACACAGCGACCGCTTGTAAATCCGCTTTGCAAAAATCCCCGCACGACGATCTTTCGTGACACCGGAAGATCGATCGAACGGAGAACGGAGCTCCCCCGAAGAGAAGGAGAGCCTGAACGTAAAAGGTCTTCGCTTCAGCAAACATGTACACGATGTGTATAACCACGCGACTAACACACCCGTGCCTTCGAGATGGAACGCGGATAATGACGACCCGGTCGTCGCGATATCTTATTGACACGAGCATACGACGATTAAGCGATTTGTTCGGTATCTGTTTCGGTCACGAAAACATTGTCTTTCCCCGTTTTGTACTACGCGGCTCTTACACGTGTGTAATCTTTCTTCTAACCCTAGACAGTACTAGAGCGATATCCGATATATATTTTGCGGGATTATATTTAAAAGATTTGATTCAATAATGTAGAAATAATTACACTTTGAATATTAAATTATTTTACGTAGTATATAGCTTTAAAATTTGTCAAAGCAGATTATACACTGTTTAGGGTTCACGGTATAATTTGCATTCACTAATTTGCTCCTCAAGTTCGATTCTAACGAGCCGCTCGACAATTTCACGTTTCACCCTTCAAGTGTCGTCTGAGAAGACGATGAATACTCTCTTTCTTTCTCTCTTTCTCTCTCTTTAGCTCTCTCTCTCTCTCTCTCTCTCTCTCTCTTTCTCTCTTGTAAGGCTAAGTAATCCTTTCTTTACTTAACCTTGCAACCCTTGCGATTTTCCAGTACCCTTTAAAGGGCCGCCACGCTACAACCCGAAGCGGCGATCGGTGGCCTTCGGTGGCACCTCCACGATGATGACGACGAGCTGCTCAGCGAGTAATCTGGGCACCCTCACCAGGATACCGTCCACCGAACAACACGCGGCAGCGGCGTCTAGCGCAGGCGGTGGTAGCGCTGGTGGTACTCTCACCAGAACCATCTCGGTGGAACAGTACTCGAGTATCACGCGGGTACCGTCCGCCGAGCAGTACGCTACCGCCGCGAGCCTGAATCGAGTACCGTCCACGGAGCAACCACCGTACTCCCCGCCACCACTTTCGTCCGGCACCCTCGTCCGGGTCGCGTCCGAGGAGAAATACGCGCCCCCGTCCGGCGTCGTGTTGAGCAGAGCTTCGTCCGGCGAACGATACGACGCCACTCTGATCAGAGTACCGTCCTCCGAGCAGTATCCGACCGTTAGTACCCTGACCAGAGTACCGTCCACGGAGCAGTACCCGACCGTCGCGGCGGGCCTGACCAGAGTACCGTCCACGGAACAGTATCCCTCCACCGGTGGGATCACGATCGTCGGTCAGTCGACCGAATCGATCCACCACGGAAGCCTCGGCAGAGTACCGTCCGTAGAGTCGAGCAGAAACGACTTACCGAACCGAATACCGTCCGAACAGAACGGCCACCGACTGACGTCGGAGTACCAGAGTCCAAATTCCTTGAGAGATCCTAACGCGAGGTAAGCATTAGACGAAGAGTCGGCGCCGCCGATCACTGGATAAGCGTGGCGCAAAATATAAAAAAAACAAAAAAAAAAACATGAAACGACGCCTCGAATTACGTCATCGCAACGATGACGGTTCGCGCGGTACGTCCGCGATCGCCGTTGCTTCACCCTGATCAGAACCCTGACCATCACATGTGCTGGCCAAACAAGGACACACACGCGTCTTGGTTCAGCGTCTTGGTCAGCGCGAAGCACCGATCGCCGACGTACCCTAAGAGTTGTACGCACCGTTTCAAGATTGCCGAGCGCCGCGGAGAATTATACAAACTTGAGAATGGAGGGTCTGACGAGGCTGCAAGAGCACCGGCTCGAGCTGCAGCACCGCCTCGATATGCACAGAACGCAGATGGAGATGCCGCCGTCGCCGTCGCCGAGCAGCAGGAGCTTAGCGCCTTTCAGCTCGGCCAGCTCGAGCTTATCCGAAGGCAGCAATCAACCGTCCGGCGAGGATTCGGCCAGCATCGTCACAGGTATATCAATTCTTTTCTCTTTCTACCCCCTTCAATTCCTCTTTCCTTCTCCCCCTACTGTTTTAATGATGAGGAAGTTCTCGATGATTCACAAACTGCGGAAATCAACACAAACACGCGTAGATACTTTGGACACTCTCCGAAAGGGAACCAACTGTCCTCAAAGGTACGGAAGGAAGCGGACAAGTTCTTTGCGCGAAAGTTTGTCGCGCGTAAAGTGACAGCGATTAAACGGCTATTAAATGCAATATCAACATGTGTATATGTAGTACCATCACCACCAAAACCGGCGGCGCGCAAAGGTGGTCGAACGATACGATGGGAGTTAGTCGGACGTTGGCTTTGATGGTTCGTGCATGCTTCCGTTTTGATGTCCCTGAGGATATTAGAGATCCCGAGTTTAGTGGCTCCTGCTCCCGCGAGCGAGCTGATCAAGATCTTTTCGCTCGAGAAGAGAGACACGCTACGCTTAACATTCGTTAGAGGCCGCCTTTTGAGATGCGACAAATGCGACGAGCTGGCGATTTTTAGAGCTCTTATTCGTCGTCGTAGAGCACATTTTAGGCGAATCAAATTGAGTTAATTTTTTATTTTTTTTGAGGCCGAGAATGCGCTGAAGTTTTCATTTAGCGTTATGAATTAGCCATTCTTTCTTTCTCTCTCTTTCTTTGTTTCTTTCTCTGTCTTTCTTAAGAGGTCTCGATCTCTTGCATGGCGTTTATCGCTCGGTAAGGCGATGGCAGGTCAAAACATGAGGCATCACCTTGACGTATATCCGACCGTTGTCGATTTCTAGACAAGAGCCTCGGCGACACAGCGTCCGACGTGATCAGCGACAGTTCCGGGGTAGGAACTTCGCAATCCGACACGACCAATTCATTATCCATTCCCGGTACGACGGTGGTATGCGTGGAGAGCTACAACAACGGGATCACTGGCCATCTGACTATCAATCAAGGAGACATCCTTGAAGGTACAGCATGGGCAAGCCAACAAACATATTCCTCTCTCTGTCTATCTCTCTCTCTCTTTCTCTTTCTCGTCTAGCTACAACTTGACTTTGATTCGACGACGAGTGATGTTTCGTTATTTTTCATGTGTTTCTCGTTAATTATTCTATGTGTTCCGTAATTTGGGATGACGACTGTCTCACTCTGTCTCTCTCGATTTCTGTTTTGTAGGTAACATCCAGAAATATTATTCTCATAGCAAGCGTGTTTTTGTTTCTTTATTTTTAACAGTCACCGGTGCCACCGATTGCGGTCTTCTGGAAGGGGTCCTACGTGGACAAGGTACCGGCCTCTTCCCCGCGCATTGCGTTCAGGAGGTCAGGCTGCGCCACACGAACATACCTTTGGGTCCGCAGCCCGCCAGAGACGGACGGAATCGGGTTCTAGGCCGTAGGGAGTCGCAGCACAAATACTTTGCCACCGCGCCTAGATTAAAGAAGCCGTAAGTTCAACGCTCGATAACGTTCTTGTCTCATGTACGTTCAGCGCGACAAGCACGAGATTCAATAACCTTGTTTTTATCCTCAGCGTCACGTCAGAACCCCGCACTGTTGTTCTTCACCGCTCGAGGAAAGGTTTCGGCTTCGTGCTGCGCGGCGCCAAGGCCACCTCACCGTTGATGGAGCTGACACCGTCTGCCAGGTATCCGGCGTTACAGTACTTGGACGACGTCGACCAAGGAGGTGTGGCCGATCTAGCGGGCCTCCGGAAAGGAGATTTTCTCATTCACGTAAGATTATCCGAGAATACTGATTTAGTCTACAATTTTTTTTTTTATTTGATTGGATTGCTTAATTTATTAATCTCTAAATTTCGAAAATCTATATAACGTCTAATAATTTTATATAATAATATTTTATGTTCTATATATAAAACTGTGTTCTGAATGTAAACTAATATGTTTGACATAGTTCTGAATTTAATTAAAGGTGAAATGCGAAATCGTTTATAATCACGAATGTTTCAGATTAACGGCGAGGACGTGACGACGGCCTCCCACGAACACGTAGTCGACTTGATCAGGAAATCGGGAGAGTTGGTGCGAATGACAGTGGTTTCGCCGGTGATTAGTCTTCCGAATTCTCAATCTGCGGCCGCGTTGCCAACTAGTCAACCTATCCAGAGACAGTATGCGACTTTACCGCGCAAGGGAAACAACAACGTGGTGATCGGTGGTACGCTCGGCAGATCCCCGGCTCCCGCACCACCACGAAGAGATCCGAAGACCACATTGAGCGTGGGTCGGGCGAGGGCGCGATCGATGGTCGCGGGATTAGGTAATAAATTAGAGTCCGTTCTTGCGAAATTACGAACATGAGAACGAAGGTTCGCGATGCTACGCATTCGTGTTGCGTTTCTCTTGCAGAAGGAGGCGGTGAAAGAGACGATCGCGACGAAATCGCGTCGACTGGCGCAAAATCGAGCAGCGCGGAATCGATTCACATGCCGCAGCAGCCTTCGACCGGAACAAACACCGGTCAGAACACCCCGGTGCAACCGAGAACGGCCAGCATCCGATCACGTCCGACGTCCAGCAGGATCACCGCTGCGGAACTCGAAGTAACTATCTTGCGCCCCAATTCGCGGGCCGTACACACAACGTGCCGCAACGTGCTCCCTCTCTCTTTCTCTCTTGCTCGATCACACTGAATTTATCCGTGCGCTCGTTGTCTCCGAATTGAATGGCATTTTGTGCACGAGACGAAACCGAGGCTTCAGCTTCGACCTTTAATTTCTCTTCCAGGAACTATTTCAGCGGCAGCAGGGTAGCGCCAGTGGTCAGTACAGCTCGTCCATGATGAGCTCGTCTCACTTTCAGGCTACTGGTCAGTCAACCAAGTCGCATCCGTCGTCGCCTGCCAAGGCCGTAGGCAGGGTGTACGCGAGCGTAGCGGAGATGAAGCGCAAGGGCAAAGTAAGGATGACTCGCCACACTCTCAAAGTTACAAAGAGCGCGAGCGCTCTCGCTCGCGTTTCTCTTTTAATATTTTCCCTGTATAAGTTGACAATAAGTTCCCCTTGATGAAAGCAGCCCAATTGAAAATGGACGTTAATATGTTTGTTCATCTTATCCAGTAGTTTGATCGAACACTCCGACGCCCTTTTAGACACAGCTACTTTTGATCATTCCCTAATCTTTAAATAGATATTTCTCTTTTCTCTGCTCGTTTTTTCTCATATGGTGCCCACATCGAATAGTAATTAATCAATATAATATCCGGCGATTATAAGGAACACACCCCATTAAAAAAGCCTACCAGCCTTTGAAAGAGTCTTCCGGCGTTCGGTGAATCCTCCTCTCTTCTCTCTGGGAAATGGTAATGGTGGTTCTTTTCTTTTGCACGTATGTTATAGTTTGCGCGCAAGCCGGTGCGAGCGCACGCCAAGGGGCGGTCCTGGTGCGGGCGAGACGACGAGGACCACTACTTATATTACTGATCCAAAATACTTTGTTTCTAGCTCGTCCGTGGCTTGCATGATTTCAGGTGACTAAGCTATTTGCTAAATGAAAAAGAAATCTGACGTCCGCGAGGACGTTAGGTGCCACCTACGTGCTTCGTGTTCACGCCTCAAGTACAATTAACCAGTTGCGCATTAGCATTTTTAACAAAATTCTGCGATTTCCTTCAGTTCCTTAAGTCGCTCTTCGGGATTGGTTCTATAAGCATGGAAGACTGACGATACGTCATTATCTTACTACGTGTATTCTTCGCAGCATATACGACAGCCTTTAACATTTAGATAATATTTCGCAAGCAAGCAATGGTAATGGTAGTGGGTTAGCTAGTTAGTTACAATAGCTTGGAGTTCACGCTTAGCAGGAGTAATGCTTCATTCTTATATCACATTTTCCTTAACATCCCTCTCTCTGTGCCTTTCTATGTTTTACTCTGTCCTTTGTTCTCTCACTGATCTAATTGTAAATTGCAATTCCTTAAATAAAACAAGATTTACGCTCCGAGTTTTTCGAGTTTATCAAGGCGACGACGCCAACCGTTCGCGAGTAGCAGCCTGTACGAATCACTTATCCTTACGTTTGCAGTCGCAATCGAGAGTGCGCTTCTTCGGCGGCTTGGGCGGAGGTTCCGATCTTCACAGAGATTTCCATAGCACGCCGGATCTCAACGTGCAGGTGCAGTCCTCGAACCTTCTAGCGCCAAATGCCATAGAAGCCAGGAGGACGTGAACGCATTGAATGGTAGAAACGGGCTTCCACCGCCAAATCATCCACCGCCACCTCCACCGGTCGGGCAAGTCGTCAAGGTGAATGTCGGTGCCAACGTGCCGGACGTCGTCACTCCAGCCTCGGTTTACGACAACATGGCGCACATCCAACAAGTCAAAGGTAATAAACGACAATCTCGTTTATAGCTTTGTTTCTCTACATCAAAGTGATTGACAGGAAGATCGAGAGTTAAATTTGCAATTCTTTATTCTTTACTCAAGAATAATATTGATATGTTTGTTTTTGCAGAACTCGCGGCAGCCACGGTCGAAGGTGGTTACGGAGTGATGTCGAGTTTCCGACCGTCAAACAGCGCGAAGCTGTACGCCTCGCCGGAGGACATGAAGACCGTCGGTTATCGTTCGCGCAGTCTACCGGCTAACCGCCCGCATCTCAGGAAATCTCACAGTCTGCGCAATCCGCCGAGCAGCACGACGTTCAAGTCAACCGGCAGTCAGCAGGCGCTGAATAAGAATATCGGCAATATGAATAGTAACGGGAACGGTAATAATCAGTACGCGCAACCGCTGAAAACTACCAGGAGTAACAGCACGGTCGGTATCCGCGAGCGGAAGAAGAAAACCATCGTCTTGAACACCAGCTCGTCGGTCACGAATCTCTCGTCGATCGCTTCCGGCCCGAATGGAACGAACGTGCCGCCCAGCTCGGCGCCACCGATTCCCGAGCCAGATTACAGCCTATCGGAGTCGGAGAACGACGACGACGAGGGCGAGGACGACGAGACGGACGAGGACGGTGAGATCGCGAAGGAGCTCGAGAAAGCGGCGGCGCGAGAGAAGCTAGAGGCGACGCGAGAAACATCCGGCAACTCCAACACGTCCGGCTCGAGTTCGTCGGGCAGCGGCTCGCTGCCTCATTCGTTCAGCGTTGAGGAGATCCAGAAGGTGCGCACGCAGCTCAAGTCGTCCAAGAGCCATCCGAACGACTTTCTCTTACAGACTCAGCAATCGCTCGTCGAGGACGGCGACAACAGCTCGAGCGGTGTCAGCTCGGATCAGGACGTACCGGTGGGTCCGCCGATGGGTTTCGACGACACCGCCGCGCGGAATTTAGCCAATCAGGAGAACAATCAGCATTCGGGAGGTACGACTCTATTAACTGGTGTCGGTTCGATCGAGAAGGAGATCAATCAGACCAAACGACCCGGCTATGGCGGTAGCGGATTACTGACCAGGCACGCAGTCAGCCTGGCACAGCTGCCGCCGCCGATCGAGGCGGATGCTGAAGAACAGAACAACGATCTGTTTGTGCCGCCGCCGCCGGAATTCAACGCCGGCCCGTCCGCTGGAGGCCAAGACCAGGAGGTGGTGGTGTTTGCGCCACCGCCGCAATTCTGCGATAACAAACAGCAGCAGCAGCAGCAGAGCACTTCGCAGAATCGTGTCAAGATAATCGGTGCGATTCCCAAAGCCGGAAACCAGGTGAAGGCATCGGGCGGAAGGGCGTTGCAGTAAAAGAAGAAACCACCGTATAAATTGCAGCACGGATTGTCTTATTCGCGCATACGGAAGAGAGTTTGCAAACACATAATCGGTAGATCGCGATTTCAAAGTCAATATATTTAGAGGTTTTTTCTGCCTTTTCGGTAGTGTAATCGCCGCGTGACGAGCATATTCAATTTGAACTACGTCGCTGAAAGGCGATTCGCGCGGACGTGCTGTCGTATATAAAGCGTGGTCAGCTTGGACGTCTTTTTGCCAAGAGTAAATTCGTATTCTAATCGAGCGTCTAGGAATCGTAGGATGTAACACGAGGAGATAATCGCGAGCGCATTTTTATTAAGTAAGATTACGAGTGTGAGCGTACGTCCGATTGCACCGCAATGAAGGATGATTGGTTTGTCGCACACGATCGATCGATAATCGTCTGTCCTATCTGCGAGCGAGAATCAGATAGATTCGGAACCCAATTTGTTAGATCGTAGAGAGAACCCAGGTTGCAAGCGTACGTCATTTTCACGTCAAATAGCGTCAACTTGCCGCTTGGGAAAGAAAGACCTAAGAGGACAGAAAAAATGCGAAAATCCGCATGTCGAAGATAGAAAGAAAAATGACCAAGAAAGAGAAAGAAAACAGGAGATGCGTTTTTAATGCGTGAATGTGCGATGCATATCGATTTGTTTTTCATGTTTCTATCGAACTACGAGGTATGTTTTAATACTTTTACACACGACACTCTTTGTCTCTCCGATTGCGGACAGCAAAGAATATTAAGGTATCGAGACAAGTTTTTTGCGAATCGCTCTTGAACCAATTTTATGCAAACTATATCGCGACAGTCTCGCTCACTCTCGATCCACCGGTGAAGTTATGAAATGGCCCATGATGGATCGATAATGCGCAAATCACATAATTGATTAGTTGTTAATATCGAAAACATGCGCGGGTTTTTTTTCATAGTTTCAACTAGCGTTTTTCTCTCATGTTTAAGACACTGCTCAAACGCCTAATCACAAAGTTCTACTCGCGAAGTCATTAGAGATTCTTACTAGTTTGTAATTACAAATGTTATTATTATTATTAATATTAGTATTATTATTATTATATTATTAATATTATATATTAGCATGATTATATTGTAATCATACGGCGACTACGGCGTTCCACTAAGCCCCTGTCGACAAAACGTAGTCGCAGAAGCACTATACTTCGTTATACTATCGCACCATCACTATTCCAGCCTGTGTAAAGTAAAAACCCCGGTACTCCTTCCATTCGTGTGAGAAGCTCCCTTGAGCCAGGAGACGTTTGAATTTGTTTCTTTTATTTTACATATCCGTGCGTTCTTGTCGAACGAGTTCGAGGATCGAGATCGCCGGTGAAAAATCGCGAGCGGAAAACTGACGGAATTCCACAATTCTAACTCTCTCTCAACGACTGACTCGAACTCTCTCGCGCAAGTTCGTGAACTTGAAATCCTCCAGCTCGCGAGTTAATCGACCTCCAGATGTACATACGCGTTACGTCGACTCGCAACACTTTTTTTTTTGTTTTGTTCTTTGCTGAAGATCTCTTCACGGCTCTCGGGGCGACAACAGTGTACTACATATTGTATATATATTATATTATATATTGAGTAACGCGCGTTGTGTATCCTCGAGTAATTCTCTATAATTACAAGCGATCATCACATTACGTTTCATCGCATTTTCGCTACGTTAGATCATATCGAGCGATCGAAGACCTTCTCTCCTTCCCCCTTTTTCTTCCTAGATGGTCATTTCTATACGCCTTCGCAAAACCTGAGAGATAAAAAGAGAGGAAAAGCATTTCGTGCGAGCGCGCGTGAGTCGCCGCGTGGTTTTTTTTTTGGAAGAAGCTGATAATTAAAAAAATCGTATATTTTCGAATGTTCCTCCGATAATATTTCAACTCGTCGTCGTCGTCTTTTGATACAGCGCTAACAAGATCCGACACAGCATAAGAGTATATTCTCTTGAATATTCTTTGAATATTTCGCAAGTGAAAAATCGATTTATTAACATCACAGCTTTGTATAAAAGATATGTTTCATATAAAAGTTACAAACTATTTAAAAATAAAATAGTGCCAGAGATATCGGGACAAAATCAAAACGCAAAGGAATTATATGAATATATCATTTCTCATATTTATTTTTCAAACTCTTGTTTCGAAAAATAATATTGATCTAAGTCTATTGTTTTTACACGATTTATTAAAATTGTTATTTTTTAATAAATCGCTAAAAAATTATTTAAATCGATAACTCCCACACAAAAATCGTTCATCTGTTTGAAAAGAAAACGAAATGTAAAATATTCAACAAACATTGAATATACATCTGAATATACGTATGCTGTCGTCACATATTTGCGGGATTACAAATTCTCGTAGATTGGTAAAAAAAAAAAAAAAGAGAATACACGCGTGTGTATCACGACGCAACACAGTGAAGAAGATCCAACAGAGAAGATCGGTCGAGAGGCGAGGCTTTACTTTTCTTTGTCGTGCGCCTGATGCATATGCGAGATGCAGGGCGGTTCACGGCCGAGATATTATTATATAATTACGACATTCCTGCCAAAAGTAATATATATAGAGAGTAGTCTTATATATTATATATACATATATATATAATATATCAAAATTTACGAAGAAACGAAGAAGAGAGTTAACGTTGCGTACGTCTCTTGCGTGAGAGGACATACTTTGTAATCTATAGTTGTTCCACCCTAATTCCTTCCAACCACCCTTCTTTCTCCTCGGTTTTCTCCGTACCGTTTTGTCGCGAGATCGACGATAGATCGTCGTTCCCTCATGACGGATATCCAACTCTTGTTAAAACTTATCAGTAAAATATTTATATATGTATAGTATATGTATATATATATATGCAAATTCTGTTTTCCGCGTAAACGAGGATTAATCGGCCGCGGAAAGTTTGAGGGAAAAAAGAAACGCTTGAAGAAAAGAAAAATTTCGCGGTTTCTCATGATTTTACCGAATTGTACCGTTGCCGATTAATTCGCGCCCTTCGCGGGGAGCGTAGCGCGTATACAGAATGTATCGAAAGACGTGTTTCATTCTTTAACAAAAATCGCGATTTTTCCTATGATTTCAAATTATCAGTTAAATTTCGATGTTGAATGCTAATACATTCATGAAATTGCGACCGAATGCAAAATGGAATGAGACATTCACTTGACATATTTTGATTTACTTGAAGGTACTTTGGAAGGTACTTTTTTACTCAAACTGAATTGACTTTTAACGAGGTAAAATCGAGAAATAAAGGACTGTTAATTATCAGTTAAATTTCCAAGTTGAATGTTAATACATTCATGAAATTGCGACCGAATGCAAAATGGAATGAGACATTCACTTGACATATTTTGATTTACTTGAAGGTACTTTTTTACTCGAACTGAATTAACTTTTAACGAGGTAAAATCGACATATTTACTTGAAGGTACTTCGGAAGGTACTTTTTTACTCGAACTGAATTGACTTTTAACGAGGTAAAATCGAGAAATAAAGGAATGTTACACGTATAAATCTCGAAGCATCCTGTACATCGCGCTTCGACGAGGGTGCTAAGGGGAGCCATCGAGAACCAATCGCAAACTCGATGATCGTACACCGACTGAACTTTTGGGAACCACTTTTTATTATTTTTTCGACCACTCTCCTGTACGTTCAATCTCGAGATCCCTCGCTCATCTCCGCTCACCCTTCCTCTTTCCACCCCATCGTTTCCACTTCGCCCCATTTTTCATATTTCAGTTATCACTATCATTAATATTATTATCAGGCAATTACTATTAGTATTTTGTATTATAGGTATTGTATTGTAAATTGCAAAAGTACGTGCAATGTTTCGACGATGAATAATAATCGATCATGTTCAACTAATGCGCTTGAAATTTAATCACCCTCTTTATCTTCGCTCCCTTCTATTAGAAGCTAAGATATATAATTCCATACATTTATATTTATTCTTTTCTCTCTTTTTTTTTTACAGAATACTGCTGAATATTTTTACCACAACTAGGATCTAATTAATTTTTTTAGTTTTAGGAACATCCCAACGAGAAAACAGCAACACATGAATATTATCTGATTTATCGAAAGATTACAGATATCCGACACATTTCCTTTAAAATATCTAGAGAATTAGGGAAGGTATTGAAAAAGTGAAGGGACAACAAGAGAATACGATATCGTAACCGTGAAATTATTATTATTCTCTTACAATATCTATCTCTTTAATGTTCTGTTCTTGAGCTATAAACCATCATTCGTGTTTGTGTACATGAAAGTATCCAAAAAGACAAAGCACTGTTCAACGCTCGGATATTTTTCTCTCTCGTTTATTCGTTTCTCATCTTCACTTGGGCTTTGGAAAAAAATGTCCATCCCTACGCGCTCTATCTTCTTTTTTTTTCTCGTAGAACCACTATGTGGATTATAATGAACACCGGCGGTGCTTTTCAACGATCGGTCGATCCACACAATGAACGCTTGTGGTTGTCTTTCTTTTTATTATTTGGCAGTGCGAAACAACCGTGCTAAATTATCACGTCTTCTGTTTCCTCCTCGTTACGCGATATCGAGTCTTGTCGCAATATGAGAAAAAGCATATCAAGCTTTCATATCGATTCCGACGAAGCGGCGAGAAAAATCGTTTGAGATCGTTATTTTCTTTTTTTAGGGAGGAAAGAGGGATGGATTTCCGGGCTGAGAATATAATTTCTCGCGGTCGATTCTCGCCGCTTCGTCATCCACGTAGCGAGAGAAAAAAATCGTTTCCCTCTTCCATTTCTCCCCCAAGAATCTACAGGGCTCATGAGATAATTGGAAATTAGATCGACAAGAGTCGACTCACCAGTTTTTCATCGTATCAAGATACTCGTCGAGTTTCTCTCTATCTCGCTCTCTCACGCACACTCTTTCTCTCTACACGATATAAACCATATTAGTTTAAACTATGCAATATATTTTTCTACTTTTATACATGTACAAGCACTTTTCTAACCGAAGCGATCTCGCGGGGCCTTAATTATATTAATTAATTAATTAATTATCCAAGAGCTCATCTTGTAATAAGCACGATGAGGATGCCTATATATATTTCTAGAGATTTTTATATCGATATTATCTCTAATATCTTTTTGCATCTCATACTACTAGAGGAAAATTTAAAAAAAAATATACACATGTACATACATATATAAAAGGTATAAAAGAAATTAAACGACGCGCTTCGAATAATGATGATTGAAACATGCGAGAGAGTTTATGGGAATTCTTTGGGAGTAATTAACGAACAGAAAGACACTCGTAATACTGATAATAAACAAAACCACGATGTTTCGCTAACAAGGAGGATTTCACAAGCTGGGGAGGCCCCAAAGTCGCGATCGCTCGACACCCTCTCTTATTTCTCGCGTCACGCTTTTACATAGAATTTATAATAAATGCAAACACTATATCTGTAATAAGCTATACTTATGCACATATCTCGGGGAGTCTTTGTGTGTACGTCGCGTTTACATCCAATTATTTACAATTCCGAGCCGGAGACTCGGCCGGAGAGAAACCCGTCGAAAATTATACATATACATACAGGGTCATCGAAAAGTATCGGACCCTCCTAATATCTTCAGTTAGAATGCATTTTGCCTCCTATTTTTATTGCATATTCTTATAGCTTATCTCGAGAGCTTTCCAAAACACTATAATAAAACATTTTTCATTAAGTACTTTTTGAATTATACAGGTTTGAAGTTAACAAGGTTGACCTGTATAATTCAAAAGTACTTAATGAAAAAATGTTTTATTATAGTGTTTTGGAAAGCTCTCGAGATAAGCTATAAGAATATGCAATAAAATGTAGGGGGTTCCGTTTACAAAAATTAGGTTGATCTTGAAATGATCTTGAAGGACATGGTCAAAGTCAAGGTCATCATCTTACTCCCCGCTTGAAACCATACAACTTTGCTATTGGACATTTTCTCCAAAATGCATTCTAACTGAAGATATTAGGGGGTCCGATACTTTTCGATGACCCTGTATGTATATATAATATATATATATATTCCCGCCGCGTTATTTATGCTCAAAATAATGTCCGAGATTGTTTCTCGATCAGTTTTGTTTTTTCTTTTTTTCATTACAAGCTTGTAACTTCTATCGACACACTGTACATCATCGCAATCGTCGACGAAATCGGAATCGACAAAACTGGCGAGTCGTACCGATGTAGAGCCCCTTTGTAACTTGTAAATTTTACTCGTTCCTTCGTTTGTCAACGCCGTGTGAGATCCTCAAAATTATATATATATATATACACATGTGTGTGTTCCTATCAATATCTTCTCTCTTTCTCTCGATTTTTTCAGAATGCTTCGAAATTCTACGCAAAAGTCGCGTAATTATTTGTTTAAGATCCTTGTGATCGGTGTTTTGTATTTTTTATGTTATTTCACAGCAACAATTTATTTGTAAAACAAAATTTAAATTTATTGTTCGATATGATACAATCGATCTTATTTTAAAACATTTCCTAGACTTGAATTTTTGCCAATTTTCGCAATTTAGACTATATGATTGTATTATAAATCTTTGCATGGATTTATCGGAGAAAAAGAGATAAGACGTTTTTTGTGGAGAAAGGGTACTCTCTATACGTGACGCTAATACGATTATATTAAAGTGTAGGATGAAATTGCGATCGGTTTGATTAACAGGGAGAATCTCACAGGTGAAAAAGGTTTCTTTCACATTTCTCTTGTTTCTCTGCGCGTTTTTTTCTAATTTTATGCAATAAAAATACGTTGTGCATATCTCTCCTTGTCTCACTCTCGCATTCTTACGCATATACTCACATATCATTCTTTCTTTTTCTCTTCCTCTTCCTCTCTCGCGCTCATCACTTTGTTAATTAATTACGGCTAGTGATTTCTTCTCTCTCTCTCTCTCTCTCTCTCTCAAGTTCTCGCACGCACCGTCAAAAAAAGGAGAAGTAATTTTATTTATATTTAATATAGAGCGTGTGTACGTGTATATGTATGTGTGTTCAGCAAAGTTCTTTCCAAAAAATCGCGATAAGAAAAAAAAGAGGAATGAGTTGTCCATGTATAATTCTTCGCTTCGCTATATTTTCTTTCGTTTTTTTTTTTCCTTTTTTCTCTATATGTCTATATAACGCTAATACAAACTTAATTATATCTTACCGAACACTTTATAGCGTCTCCCTTAAACGTACGTTCATTTATTTATTTATTTAGTGCATTGCGCGGCGCATCGCGCATGGATTAAAGTTTTTTATTCTACGAAAAAAACGCACGGACATATATAAAAAAAAGAACACACCAGAAATCATAGAAACGAAATGATTTCTTTCGTTTCGAGTCAGACTTTGTGCAACTAGAAAAAAGCATATACAAATTGTTTTACATTGCTTTTACACATGTCTTCCCTCCCTTTTTTTCAGCCTTCCGTCTCTTTTTCGCGTTATTTTTATTATTATTAATATTAATATTATCATTTAAAGAGGTTTTCTATATCGATAATTTAGAATTATCAACAGGCCGATACGAAGAATGATGATAAATATACGAGACGTTTTATAGTTACACGGCTGAGCCACACACATGTATTTTTTTCTTTCAATATCTTTCACATTCTTTTACATAGAGAGAAATTTGTTCGCTGCAGACTTTCAAACGTGATAAACGAGATCGCCGAAGCTTGAAAACAATTTTTTTTTTTTTTTTTTTAACTAAATGCAGTCGACTCGTTTTTCTTGGCAATGAGAAAACAACGCTAAATCTTAATTAAGATTAATTACAAACGAAAAATACAATAACGTACAAGAGAATACTTATAAAGTCGGAATTAGACTCGCCAATCGTATAATTATACAACACAAGCGACCTACAAAATATGAGCGAATATATAAACGTATATTATATGTATATTCGCAATTCTTTTTCAAATAAACTTATCGTACAAGATCGCTAAGGGCTATCATACCGAAGCTCGTCAGAAAATTAATCCCGTTTTTTTCTTTTTGTACCTTTCCGCGACTTTTGCATTGCCGATTCACTCAAAATTAATTTTACATAACGCGAGAAATAATTATTATAATTGGAAGGACCTTCGAGATGTGTCTTTCTCTCTCTCTCTCTCTTTATTATTTGTTGCGATTCTTCCATTTTGTGAGATCAAGCGCGATCAAGTAGCCGAAAGCTCCTTCCTGTCATCTCACCTTTGCGCTTATAAGAAATATTATTAAAAAGTTAATGAAAATGCAACTTGTATACTTAACAACTAATGGAACCTCCCTGTTCAGTTCTTTATCTCTCTAATAAATTATGTCTAAAGACTCACACGTGCAGACTATAAAAATTTTCAAAATACGATCAAAAATCGATTACATTTCTCAATTGCAATTAAACGTCATGTTCTGGAAAGAAAAAAAACGTAAAATAGATTTATTTCTATCTCGATAGAATATGATTAGTTCTATCTCGATAGAATACATCTAAAAATGACGGACAAGTTGCGTAAAAAATTGGTCCCTTATCCGATCGATATTAATTTCGACTGATAACAATTCGTTTTATACAAGCAAAGGAAAAAAATTGTAACAGAGAAAATTGGCAAGGTGAAAAGACGGAAGTAACGATCAGGACAACGATCGCACCACGAAAGAATGAAAAGTCAATGAATATGATTGAATGAGATGCGAGAAAATATAAGACGAAGATGTAAGAAGCAAGAAATAAATATGAAAAATGCAGTTGTTAATTCTCAAATAAGATAGATGTCGATGTGATAAAATATGTCGATTTAGAAGCGCTTAAAATTGAATACTTTAAATCTTTCAAAACAAATATTTCAGACATTTCAAAGATTTTTTGTTTTTTACATCGTATTTCATCAAAATTATTATACCTAATATCTTCTTTTCGCTTCTTAAATCTTGTTTTTATATCTCATCATGTCTCAGCCCGAAAAAGCGGACGCGTCGATCATAAAAAACGCACTATGGTTTCTCACGAGACTTCGTATGGCACCGTCTCGGATTGATTTTTAAAAAACGCGAAGGGCAGGACTCATCGTATATATTTATAATTTTTTTCACAACTCTTGTATCCTGTTCTATACGTCCCGCTGGCAGTGTTCGATAAATTTACGGGCTCGACAAAGTCTTGGCAGTATGCGATACATGAGTGCTCGGAGGATATCGCTGATCTTAAGAAAAAGTGTTTAAAAATAATAAATTTTCAGAATTTATAAAAAAAAAAATTATCGTGTCAGAATAAAGCAAATTTATATGAATGATTAATTTCTCTAAATATACGTGAATTAACGAACACATAACAGATGCGAACAATAAATTTTAGCTTGTGTGATTAAATTTTTCCAAATAAATGTATCTACTAGATTATTATGTTGATGAGTTTAGAACGGCAATATATATAAAATTATATATATAATAATTTATATATATTACAACATATATTTTATTTGATGCATTTATATGGCCGAAGAATAACCGGAATCCGAAAAACGAACGAGCTAAACGAACTAGCTTGCGGCTAGGCCGTGGCTGTGTAAGTATTATATATATAAAAAAGAACAGGATCCCGCGCGAATGAGAACGAGTTTGTTAGAAGCACGACGCAAACGAACGAACGTGCGACAGAGAGAGATTCTACGTTAGTAGAGGCGCGTCGTTAAGAAACGACGGAACTGGCAGTGCGTGAATTTTGGCAGTGACGCGTTTTTTTTTTTTTCTTGCATCTTCCGGTGTCGATCTTTCGATTCGCCGAAGATCTGCGGATACAGAGAGATTATACCGTTCTTTTAGACAGCTGTCGAATACTCTCGCGAAGTAACTTTTGCCCCGGCGACGATGAACCGCGTGACTTCCGCGTAGTGTAAATATGCCGTTTCGTTACGATGATAATTTCAACTAAGTATTTACATTTACAATTCGCGCGTTCGCGACGCGCAGCTCGGAAAAATTAAATTGTAAAAACCATTAAGGCTCCTGGCTCCTCGCTAACCATGTTGGAATTGTGACGTCAAATAAAAGAAAACATGATAAAAATTCTTAGATACCATTTCGAAATAAAGATTATCGCTAAAACTTCAGATAACTTTAACACATTCTTAAAATATCTTGAAAACTGTGTTTTCCCTTTATAATCAATCAACAGCTGTAACATGATTGTAACATGAGGCTCCAGTCTATCTGGTCTTTGCACATGCACAGTCATTCTACATGACAAAGTCTGACATCACTTTATGGTTGTTGATTGACTGTCAAAGGAAAAGAATAGTTTTCCGAGATATTTTTAAAGTGTGTTGAAGCCATCTGAGAAAATGTTTCATTGAAATATCTTTTCATTTAAAAATGACATTTAAAGAAACGTGTTTTCTCGCCTTTGACGTCATAATCTGACTAGCCTCGGCGAGGATTCAAGAGCTTTAAAATACGTGCCTCGCGGAGCGGACGCGAGACACTTTCGATGCACTATTGTCCGCTCGCGCGCGTCAGCTAGAGATCTATTCGGTTATACACTTATACAATCGTACCTTTTATAATAATAGTAAGAATAATTATAATCGATTAATTACCGTAGAGCTCTTAATTACAATCGTATTGGCAGTGTTTCTTAGCTGGTGTGTATGTAATGACGTACCGTCTCTGTCTGTGTGTGCCTCACGCGATCTCTATTTCTAATCACAATCGCTCGATCCATCCCTCATTCATTTCTTTCATACCATTCTGTGTTCTTTCGAAATCAATCTTTTACCGATCGTTCAACACACACGACACGACACATATCCGTCTCCTTAATTTAACGAGCCTTAATTTACATAAACCTTTATTCGCTACACACACGCACGCGGATGTTGCACCGCTTCACGATTCTACGATCGCAAGAAGAATCTCTTGTTTCTCGCGAATCGCGAACACGATGCACGTCGCATTCTTTGTTCACGTTCCCTTCCACATTCTTTCCCTAACAACTCCATGGAAAATGTAACACAGCCTTCGTAATTTACCCCTTTTGGGATAACAGTTCAATAGGTTGCGATCGCGCTGCATGTTGAACTACTCACGTTTCTTCTCTTTAATGGATTGGCACTAGATTGATAAAAATCTCGCGCGAATAAATTTTTGAGTCGCGACGAGAGCGTATGCCAACATGCCGCGTGAGACTCAGCAAAAAGATAAAAATAATGCGACAATGAAGTATCATCGCATGAAAAATCGAACACGTCTTGGGCACGAAAAGGAAGTAAGCTCGACGTCCCTTAGCGAAAACTCGTTTGCTTCGAACCTTATGAGATCACTATCTTTTTTTCTTAATTTTCAGTTTTGTACATCGCGTTTACTCTACGCGTTCCGTTTCTAGAAAGAATTCTCGAGAAAAATCTCGCTGGCGTACGTGTCGTCCGATTATTCCGCAATCTTTCAACTTCATGCCGAGCTCTCAAGCCTGGAGACTGTCAACCCCATTCAGGGAAAAAACGGCGGGTTCGAAGCAATATCATTCAGCTTCTTTCTTTCTCTTTCACACAAATACACACACACACATTCTCTCTTTCTTTCACTCTCTCTCTCTCTCTCTCTCTCTCTTTCACATTCTTTCTCATTCTCATCTAACAGCCTAAGCCTCCTCCGCGATTTTTCTCGTTCCTCGATACAATCTTCTACGTCCGCTTCACGCTGTCCACGATCCTCTTCTTCGTGTCTTCATGTTCCTCTTCATGTTTTTGAACAACAGCCAACACGAGTTTCTACCGAGTTGTAAATCAAAGTAGACGCATCTTCTTTCTTTGTCTTCTTTTTTCTCGAGGCATCGTCAGAAAATCGTAAAGGTACCATCAGTTCTCGGAAATGCCAAGGGACCGATGTTAGATATTAATTGAATCCTAAGGCCACCAGAGTGATTATCTCCTTATAAATTGTAACTACCATTTAAATATTTTGTCTGTGCACTCCCTCGGCTTCCTTTGACAAAACCAAATTACGCAAGAGCTCCCCTTCACTGCTTTCTTCATTCAATTTTCGCTTTTTTGTTCTTGACTATCGATACTGCCGTTTCCACCGCGCGATCATCCCCTCTTGGGTTCTTGATCGGCGATAGAAGACGGTACAAAACGTATCCACGGTGAGGCACTTTCGAGGTCCAGACTTGGTGCTTCCGAGGCCGACGAATTTTGAAATATGCGAGGTAGCACTCGTGGCAGGGATCAGCATAGAATTTATCGCGTTAGTAGTATGTATCCTCCAATGAACGATGACGAAGAGTATGCTCGTTTCAACGGCTAGCAACGCTCTCGTCCAGCTCAAACGGGGGACGGATGATCGTATCCCTCTATTGTCCTTTTTCCAGCTGTACATTCTCCTTTTTTCTGTACTATACTGTACGCTCCGATTCATTCTGAAATTATTATCTTTCGCGCGATTTTCTTCCTGTCGCTACGATTCTTATCTTCTAATCGATCTGGATTCGCAAAAGGATTGGTCGTTCTCCTAGATTAGATAAGTTATCTTCTAAGCGCGTGTGCTCCGTCTCTCGATACATTCGGGTATTTTCAGGTCGCATAGTCGGCGGCCTTCGTCTTCACCGACCAGGAAGAGTGTAGACCGTGTTCTGCTCGTCTCAATCGGCAGAATTCTGTTCTTCCTCTCTGGTTCAGGTGTAAGCGCTCAGGTTAGGTCAATTCTGGTATCCGGTCAATTGGCCGACATTATCACGAGATCTTTACTGGTTTCCGGCGTTGCTTCACTCGCGCTGTCGGTGGCGCGCCACCGTTTAGCGCTGGATAGAGAGCCAAACTCACCTCTTCCGGATTACTGGCAGCCACTTTGCGAATATCTACGTATTTCGTGCTTTGTACTTCGGATTCTAGTACCCATTCGTCCGGTCTCTGCAGAAGAAACACGCGAAATGAGAAAACTGATGAGTCAACGCGGTGGTGTTACGAGAAAGTTTATAATTACAGGGTGGAACTTACATATCCTTAGGATACCACCGCAGTAGTACTCTCGTCTTTCCGTCCATCTCGACTCTCTTCGCTAAAACCTGGAAGAAAATCTTTTTTAGCGAATTTAATTGACAAGTTTAACAATGCGTTGTGGTAGTTTTACACTCTCAACATACTTGACTAGTTAGTGCCATCGAGTTTCCTGGCGTCTCAGCTAGTTGCCCCTGCGTCCTCGATGACGCTAGTTCCTGTAGCCTATGCTGAAGACCTTCCATCACTCCCGAGTCAAAGTAATCAAAAAGTCTCGCTGTAAAGTTATATTCAACGATCTAACATTTCCACACTATCAATATGTGCTACATTACGTTAAAAAAAATTAAAATAAAATCTACGTCCATTGAAGAATTTGTTATAAAGTGACACTCACCAGACCAAGGTTGTCGCCTATATCTAAGCTTCTTTCCGTTCCTTCTAACTAGTTTGCCGCCGTTCTCGCAACTACGTCTTCCGTTAGTGTTACTTGTTTCCGGCTGATTAAAATGACCATTCACATGCCTTTCGAGTGCCGTCTACAAACGAACGCGTACTTTAGTCTCTGAAATTCTACCCGCAACGTAAATCAACATCGCGCGCAGAAACCGCGACATTTTACCTGAGAGCTGAATCTACAACCGCAGCCGTCGACGATACATCGGAAGGGTTTATTGCCACCGTGAGACAAAACATGTCTCTCCAGCCATCGTCGTGAACACGAGGTTCTCCCTTGCACCTTACAACCCTGCCACTGGCAAACGAAGTTGTCGCCACCAGTTTGCGTGTTGATGTGTGCAGCCTGTCAAAAATAATAAATACAGTAAAATAAATACAGTATTATACATAAACTATATAAATTTTTTATATCCTACACATTAATAAGAAATGTTCATGATTATTTTCAAGAAAGAAATAGGAAAGAGAATCGATATATAAAACCTTCTACGAAGAATCAATGTACCTGTAAATGCTCCAGAAGACCACCCACAGATTCAAAACTAGCTTCGCACTTATCCCAGCGGCAGATCCCGCTGTCGGTGGCCTGTGGTCTGTCCTTCTCGGGAGCTCGTGCCGGAAACCGGATAGTAGTGGGTGCGGAGAGAATGGGCGACAACGACGGTTTCGACTCGCTACTTCGAGAATCCTCCTCGTCCACGTCGTCCTCGTCGACAGGCGTTGGCTGCGCATCCTCATCCTTACTGTCTTCCTTCGACGGCGAAGACAACCTCGAGATGGGTGAATCGCGACCGTTTTGTGACCTCAATGCGCCCAGAATACTGCTGCAGCCGTTCGTCAAATTGTTGTTCTCATTCACGTGCGGTTTCGATAGAATGCAACCCTTAAAGTCCAGTGGCACGGCCTCGCTTAACGAAGGAGCGCTTGCTGGCGGAGAGCTGCATTTGGTCGCGTTGATACTCGCGTCCGAAGTTAATCTGTCAAAAAGAAAAACGTAGTTATTAATCTGAAAACAATCCTTACTTACCAAGGTTCATCTAAAAATGTTTCCTCTGGAAAATTGGAAAATCTCACTTTCGCGGTGAATTAATATTAGTATTAATATTATTATGAACCCCCCCAGCTGTACACACATCGATCATAAAAGGCCTGGAAGATAATATCATTAAAATTAGCTCAGGATTGCGCCGTGTATTTTCTTCATGGGATCTTAAGATATTATTCTGAAAGAAGAAATCGTATCAGAAAAACAAATTTTCGACAAGAAAATACGCGACATATTTTTTTTGACTGAAATACAATATAAATATGAACCCAAAGATTAAAGATAGAATAATCCAAACTTTCAACTCGTTATGTGCGCCTAATTAGCGAATAAATCAATGAATCAATGAATAGTGAAATCAGCGTTCTTGCGAAGACATGCTGCGAATTCGAAATTGAAATTATCTGTACCTAAGGGATGAGATCTTGGGTAGATTCTTGAGTACGTCGTTCGAGATTGGCAGACTTGGCAGCGGCTTCGGCAGTTTCTTGTCTATCTTATTGTTGGCTCTCGGCGCGATGACCAACGGTGGCTTCTTCGAGGCAGCCGACGGCGACGTTAGCGTTCTCACCTCCCAGTCATTAGCCGAGGAGACGCGGTTTGAATTCGACGACATATTATTTCCCAGATATTTAGCAAGACCACCTTTGTTCCTCTGCACCGTAGGTGGCCTCCGAAACTCCGATGTGCTTTTCGCTACTAGCACTGACATTTCGCTTGTTTTCTTGACCTGTCGACAGAAATGTTATTGTACAGTGATGGAACGATTGTATTTCTTATTTATTATTTTTATCAGCTGGTTAGGTATTATCGTCAAGTTAAGTCAAAGGTAATCAAACGGGAAGTTTTTGAGTCTCTTCTCTAAAGAAAAAAGTATCCAAAGTAATAATGTTAATAATGTTTATATTGTAAAAACAATGAAGATAATATAATTAAATGTGGATTTATATTAAACACGAATTTTATGATAAGGAACAGTATATATGTGTGTTTAATATTCTTTAGTAAACACATCTCGGTATAACATCAAAAATATCTTTATTTTTGCTGTTGTAAATTCAAGACTGTTTGGATCGCAACAACATCGAAATAATCTTTCAATTAAATAAAAAAAATTCGATTAAAAAAATTATAAGTGTAAAAAAATTGTTTACTTATATAGATTGTTTTATATGCGCTTCTCTATTTGTTTCTCGTAATCGTAATATCGTTAATCATTTCTTCATCTTTGTTTTGTTTAACATTAATATTTTTTACATTCTATAAATACGAGCCATATATTTGTAACATTTAAATGCTGTAAATTATCAAGTATGTGTCATGTTAAATAATCGATCGAATGCGAGAGCAAGTTTCCGCGAATTAATATCGATCGACAGGAAAAGACCACTTTTGCACAGACGGATTTAAAAAAAAAAGCTAATTCAATATCCGATAATGCGCGAGTTTACAGATAAGGCGAATCTGTATCTAAAGTGTCCACGCGCGAAGTAGAGATATCTTCAATAACTTCCGTTGCAATGTTAATTTTATCGAGGAAACATTTTTTCTTTTTCCTACGAGTTTTCTTCGCTTTAATATATAACTGAGTATTATAAATTAAATTACGAATTAAATGTCGCCAATGATACGATTAATATTATACGCCATTTTATAATAATTAAATTTTTAATAAAATATTTACAATTCGCAGATAATTCGTAAAGATTTTATTTTATTTTATTCGCGATTAAAATTCTCCACTTTATATAAATTGAACGATGAAAAAGTTTTTTTCACAATTGTATACTTTTTCTTTAACTTTTGAAAGAACATAAAGAAAAAGATTTCCATACAATTCGGAATTCTGTTGGTATTATTACGTTCGAGTATTACAATATAAATCCCTGAAATCTTCGACGCAACTCATAAATCGTTCAAAGCAGCCTTGTAAAAATTCATTTCTTCCGAAACGCAAAGAAATTATGGATCGGACACCTGTAGCGTTTGACCATTTATTTTTTACAGACAAATGTTTTTCACTATCTATTAAGGAACACCAAATTTGATCCTTGACATCCTTATTATTTCTTCCTAATACTCTTTTGTAGTTTCGAACATATTTTTCTCTCTCGGAATCAACTTCATTTTTTAACAATTTCTTAATTTTTTAATACCAGAGCAACCGTGTGCTTTTAGTGTTCTAAAGCTGTCTTCACTGAAGCAACAATGAGCAATTTTTTGTTGCTTAATTGTTGCTAAATTTTTTAAAATAATTCGACATATGTCAACTTGTGACAACATTTTGTCCATACTAAAGCAATAAAATTACAGGAACATTTGGGTTTTGTTTCTCTTCCCATTTTAACCGCGACTGTATCACTGAAAATTGAAGATCTATACTGAAGAAACATGTGTTCCTTTGCGATTTGTTGACGCGTGTTGCTAATTTTTCCTTTATCTTTACCGCTTCGAATGGAAACACACACACCAAGCAGCAACTTTTATTAACTGATAATAAAAACAACAAGGAACTTTAAAAAGGTACAACAAGAAACTTTAAGAGCTTTCGGCAACTAGCAACCTTTTTAAAAAACATCAACAAAAAGTTACTCCAGTGAGGACGCAGTTTAATACTAAAATTGAGAAGTATAAAAAAAATATTGACGAATAATAGGACCTCTGAAATGCTCACGCTGAGAAATAAAAATGTACCAACCTTCGGCTGTTGCGGCTTGATCTGAGTCTTAAAGTACTCCGTGATCTTTCCCTGCGACTCGTGATGATGTTGACCAGTCTTTCCGTTTCCCTTGCCGGCACCCCTGGAGGTGGGATCGGCGGCGCCGGAGCGCGGAAGAGCGCCAGCTTCCGGTTCACCTCTCAGCCTCTTGTACGCGGTGGTGGAGCAGGCGGTCGCCGCCAACGGCGGGGTCCAGGGCCACTGGGGCCTGGTGCCGATCTGCGACGACGGCGCCAGCTTGGACAGGGTCGGTAGCAGCGGACTGGCGGACGTGCCGCGTATCGCGGCTATTCCCTCGTCGCTGCTGGTGCTGCACGGCGACCCAGGTTCCGTGATATCGCTGGTTCCGCTGCTGCTGCATTCCCCGCAAGATATTGCGACTCCACTGTAACATGAAAAGATGCGACGAATTAATTTAGCTCCAGTGTAAAAGTGAGATTCTTTCGAGAGAGAAAGTTCGCGCCTAAATTATATTTTATTATCTTTGTATTATATCGATATTATTACGAGAGATCTTACTCTTCGCATTATCTCCTTAATACAACTTAATTGTCTATTATTACATCTTGTTATCCTTATATTATATCGATATTATACCTATTATATTATAAGAGGTATCTTTTACTTCTGTCGCATTATTCATTTAATAATAAATTTTTCTTACTTAATATACGAGTTGAATTGAGATGAATGAAGAAAATAGGATATTCTTTAACCGAATAAAAATTATAAAATTTTTCTTATTTAATTTACGAGCTAAATGGCTGAATGAAGAAAATGAAGAGATATTTTTTATAACCGAATTAAAATTGTAAATGTTCGTACACCATGCAAAACGGCAGTACAATTTATTCGAGTATAAAGGACTCGTCGTCCCTTGCCACGTTCCGGTCGCACCTTTTTTCCCCCAGGTACAAGCGAAACGAGTCCGGCGGTCGACAGTGGCTCTGAAGTGACCGCGAAGCGCCACGAAGGGAACCGAGGAACCGGTTGCGGAGACGATGAGCGAGGCGGCGACGACGACGACGACGACGACGACGACGACTACGATGGCGGCGGCCACGAGGAAATTGCAAACTTACCAAGTAATGATGTTACCACCAACGCAAATCTAATTACAGGCCCAGACATTACCAATTGGCCCCGTCGTTTCGGGTTCTATGGCTTCCAGTATCGTGGTACGACCCGTTTCGGTAATTTCCAGGCAAATCGAGGCGCGGGGAGATATACTATATAGACGGAAAACACGAGACGCGCGTTCCGGCTTCATTATCGAATTTGTTAATAGCAATCTAATTTCAAAACATTTGCGCACAAGTTGCCGCTTCTTCGTTTGTACTTGAACGCAGAAAAAATGTTACCAGAGATACTTTATATTTTATATCAAGCAGTTATGAAGAGTCTAGCAAATCAAAAAATAAATTAGTAAAACAACATAAACGCGTGCTATACTATTCTTCGATTTTATATTAAAAGGAATATTTAAAAAAAAAATATAAAATTTGTTTAAACTCGAATATCTCTTGCCAGAAATCAGCTGATAACGCTTTAATCAGCTGACTTCTGTCAAAAATATTAATAAAGCGTTAATTTACTAATTAAATTTTAAAATAATGATATATGTTATAAAAATTAAAATAGTAATATGTTGTAAATAATGTGTTATCATACTTTATCCTCGATTAATATTTTTGACAGAAATCAGCTGATTGATACCGAAAATTCTCTTCTTTATTTTAGTGGTGTCGGTTAATATTTTTTGACAGAAATCAGCTGATTTCTGTCAAAAATATTAACCGACATTACTAAAATAAAGAAGAGAATTTTCGGTATCAATCAGCTGATTTCTGTCAAAAAATATTAACCGACATCACTAAAATAAAGAAGAGAATTTTCGGTATCAATAACCGATCGACTCTCTCATACATATAATTCTTCGTTTTACGCTAGATTTGCTCTTACAACACCGAGTCCATTCAATGTAAACACGAGAACAAGAATCACGAGACAGTCACGTTTACCGCTAAATGTGAATGAAAAACACGCGGGATCGATAAGCGCGCGTATACGAACAAACGTGACAAGTCGTTACGAGAGCTCGCAATCTTCCGCATTATTACAGGTTCCTCGAAAAAGTGTATACATATTTAAAAAAAATCCTCCAAAATGCAAGTCTCGCATTCGTTCCTCGTCGTTCGTTGGCGAACAAGGCAGGTTTTTCGTTCCGCAAAAAAAGTTTGCAAGCATCGTTTGTGTCGCGTATATCAGCGGCCGTAAATTATACCGTCGGGGCTGTAAAGTCTGGGCCGCGAGAGAAAGAGAGTGAGAGAAAAAAACAACAATGATCTCCCGTTGCCCCGCGTCCGGATAAGGCAAGCGCGATCATCGTCGATCTTCCTCTCCCATTCGCGCAGATATTTCGGGACGTCTGTCCGTTCCGTTCGCGCGCACAAACCACGACGACGTCACACACCCGAGAGAAAGAGAGACACTGACCTTTCCATCCACGTTACGATAGTGCGCGCGCGACGTTTACGCAACGCGTAACCGTAGTTAGTTAGTCACAGTCTCGTGGCGGCAAGTGGCAGAAAGACGCGTGCCGCCGCGCCGTTTTATTGACTCATCTTCATTCCTCGTCTATCGAATCATCTTCCCAATTTCGAATCTCTCGCACAGCGAATTCGAGAGCGCCCGCTCAATTTTTCATTCATAAATTATCGCGAGAGATCCTTCATATGTGTATCCGCTTCGAAATAAAATTGTCGCGTTTTTTATATATTTAGGAACACTTTTATAGTTGATCGCGTTACCGATAAAATCAAAATTGCCCCAAATGCAGTTCTAAATACAGTAGGCACTCTGGCCAAAACAACTATTTTAAGTTTCTATTATTAGTGAAATAGAATTTTCGCATGCAAAACACTTTTTTCTCCTTTCACCTCGTCCGGCTGATTCTATTTTAATTTCAAAATAATGAAATTATTACTCTTTGCACGAAACACTGAATTATGCAATTAGGGGAGAGATAAATGATAGAGGAGAAGACGTCGAAAATAACGACACAATTTTTCGATCGAGAGGAAACAAAAAAAAAGAGAGGTCGCGGACGATGACGGTCACTGTTGCATAACTGACCTATACTCACAAAAAGAACACGCGCGTGCAGAGCAGTTCGCGGATCCCGTCCCTTTCCCGCTCAAAAGTTGCGAAAGTACGGAAGAGCTTGGTTATTATTACGGCAGCGCGCCAACTCGTCCACCCACTTCGGGGACCCGAAGTTTGCGAGAGCCGAACAAAGCGGAGGTATATAAAGTATAGCGACTTCCAGAGAGCGACACGAATTTATGTTCGTAAACTGCCAACTGACGTCTTCCCGAATTTCTTTGTTGCACCGTCGAAAGTTTATTCGTGTAATAGCGCACAGACGAGGTTCAAAAATAATTTTGTTAATGAAAGTTTCTACGAAATAACACATTGCGTTTTTCTCGAGTATAAATTTCATTAAAAACAGATATACAGGGTGTCCTAGAACTGGCGGAAAAGTTTTTAATGACAGATTCCTGGTATCATTTAGAGACGATTTTTCCTTAGTGAAAATGTTGAGAGAGGCCATCATTTTTAGCGTGTTCCCAATTTTTATTATTATGTATCTTTATAACTAAGCTTGATATTAAAATTCTATTAAACTCTATCTAAAATTAACTGAAGATTGTGGTTCTGTCAATATTATTTTATTTCCACAAGGTTTAGTTTCCAAAAAAAGCTTTTATTTTCAACTGCTGATAATTCGAAAATTATTGGTGTCTCGACATTTTCGCTGAGGAAAAATCATCTTCGAATGATACCAGAAATCTGTCATTAAAACCTTTTTCGCCATTTCTGGGACACCTTGTATAGCATATATTATATATAACAGATAGGTATATAAAATATAGTAGAATATAATAATATAATGAAATATAATTATAACGATCGGATTCTGATAAGTGCTGTGAAAAACGTGCTTCCCTTATTTGGACGTGTAAAACCGCACATATTTCTCGGAGCAAAGTACATATATATATAACAATAAGAAACGATAAGCATTAATTTAATTCGTGGTTGCCGCGAGGAAGATAAAAAATCCGCAAGTGCGCCATCATCATCGCGCCTCCGTCGGATTTCCGGCGAGGAGCGCGTGCGAAAATCGAGAGGCAAGGCCCCACGGCGGCGTTAATGCACACGCTATATCATGCATTATACATGTCCGCATGTTAATTGCATAACGCGCGCCGTAATGACTGAAATAAATGTTATTTACGGCCCCGCGATTTTATCGCGCGCGGCTTTCGCGTAACTGACCTACGTCCATTTCGTCCGTTCCTTGGCCGCGGTCATGCGAATAAATGTGCGAATGTGCACGCGCACGCGCGCGGAATTCCGCCCTTTCCGCTGGAAACTCACTGGAAAGGGACGAGATGACAACAACGACGGGTGGGAGAAAAGCAGAACGGCACGTCGATTCTCGGTATATGATGATCTTGTCTCGATTGGGGTCCAGTACAAGTTCTGGGGAAATTGAGTGGACGGACCATTCGAAGGCGCTTCAAGGACCACGAAGGACCATCGGGAAGTTTAAGCCTCAATAAATCTCAGCGATGCGTATAGGCCGCATAATTGAATGCCGATACCTCTTCGAAGAGGTTCGAAAGTAAGAGAGATGAGTTTAAATATTTTTCAATTAATTATTGATATGTTGCGATTAATGCACAGAGAGAATTTTCTTTTAGAATTTATCCTGAAAATCACGATAATCATGCGGGACAATATGATATTGGAAGAATTTTACGAGTTTCTCTGATTAATATTTGTCACAATAAAAAATCTACGCTATAAGATAAATGTTCGATTAATTTTACTATGAATACATATTAATATTTTGTTATTGTGGTAAATATTAGTCTGAGAAACTCTTATAAAATTATTTCAGTACCATATTATCCTAGTTACGATTATCATGATTTTCAGAGTACATTCTAAGAGAAAATTCTCTCCGTGTAGAAACATAAAAATCGTCAGAAGTTCGATTTATAGAAACAAAAATTTGTAGTATCTATTTGGAATTGTGTGATATTTATTATAAATATCTATTATATATTAGAATATTTTAACACCATTATGGCAAATTATACTCACAAAACATTATTAAAATTATTATTATTATTTGCACGTGATCACAGAGTGATTTAAATAACTAGTTTGCAATTCGAATTTTTCTTCATATTTATTCAATATTATATTAATTATTTTTGTTTCGTAACTTTCTGACATTTAAATATGTACAAAGTAGGACGTGAATGAAATATGTACTTTATAAAAAAAACATGTTCACGATAAGACAGTCCT